GCACAGGAAAAGCAGGACCTTCTTGGTTTCAAAGGGTGGGACCACAGTCTCCTGGATCTCAGAGTGGGGCCAGAGCTACTTAGTCTTCAGAAGCAGATCTTTGCCAACCCAGCTTCTGAGTGTGGAGCTGCTGTTGAGGTATGCTCCAAAGGGATGGTACCACTGACCAAAATTGAGGGGTAGGGCTGTCATGCCTGAGCTTCAGAAAATTAAGGTCTGCTGAAGCAGATAGAGCAGGATCACCCCACAGATGGACTAGAATGGGGCTGCCCAAAGCTGATGCTACAGAGTTACTGTCCCATTCATTGGACCTAGGTGGTGAAGTTGTAGCCCGGGGCTGAGGAGCCTCTACCCATAATCCAAAGAATATGGCCAACACTCAGATCCTGGAGGGGAGAGCCAGTGCTGAGATGGTCTTAGAGAACTGAGGATTATTTTCAAGATTTGACAGCTAATATAATTTGTTCTACTGGGCTTTGGACATGCCTGGTGCCTCTTACCCCTTCTTTACTTTCAATTTATCCCACAGTATTTGAAATGTTTTACCTTGTAAACATAAGCATTGCACTTTAGAAGCAGATATTCTGTATAGATTTCATAGGCTCACAGATGAAGAGGAATTTTGCCCTAGGATGGACTATGCCTCAAGTTTTACCCATATTTGATTTAAATGATTCAGAAGATAATATTTTAGACTTGGAGCTGATTTTAGACTTTGGGAATTATGTGATAGGGTGAGTGTGCTTTGCACCTGGCAAGGACAAAAATTTGGGGAGGATAAAAGTGGTTGTTAGGGAATAAATGTATCTCCCCAAAATATGCGTTGTAAAGCCTAACCTCTGCCTGTGGATATAATAAAGAGAAGGCTTTCTGCTCCTGGAAGATGCTCTTCAGAAATCCTACACAGGGTCCCTATGAGTAGGAACCAACTCAATGGCACTTAACAACATGCCCGTGGCTATAATCCCAGTTAGGAATGGACTGTCTTTGTTATGATGGTGATGGTGGTTCTGTGCCTTGGAGTCCGCTCAGACTCATAGCAACCCCGTTACAGTTTCCGAGGCTGTAAATCTTTACAGGAGCAGAAAACCTCATCTTTCTCCTGCAGAACCCCTGGTAGTTTCGAACTGCTGACCGTGAAATTAGCAGCCTGACTCATAACCGCTAGACTAGCTAGCACCAGGTATATGTTGAGTCACTGTCTTTTGTCATATAAAAGATGAAATATGTGAGTAGAGATGGGGTAAGACAGATGTCAAGATACATGGAGATGTCCAAGGAACCAGGAAGCTGAAGCGACAAGGACCATCCCCTGGAGCCCCACAGAGAAAGCCTTTGTCCCCAAAGCCAGTGTCCTGAATTTGGACTTGTATGTAGCCAACTCCACTGTCAGAAAATACATTTGTGTTTGTTAAAGCCAGCCACTTGTGTACTTCTGTTGTAGCACCACCAGATCACTAAGAGAGATCTGTTGGATTAAATAAAATATAGTATTAAAATAAATTTCACCTGTTACTTTACGTTTTTAAAAATCAGCTACTAGAAAGTCTAAAATTACATTTGTGACTTAAAGTACAGTCTGTGGAATGGGACTAACATTGAATTCGCCAGTCAATGAAGGGATGCCTAGTACAGAAGAGGCGAGCCCACAAGGTCAGCGGTTCAAACTTACCAGCCGGAAACCCTATACAAGGGTTGCTATGGGTCGGAATTGATTTAACAGTACTTAACAACAACATGAAGCTCTGGTAGCGTAGTGGTTACGAATCGGGCTGCGAACCTTAAGGTCAGCGGTTCAAAACTACCAGCGGTTCGAAACTACCAGCAGCTCCGCGGGAGAAAGATGAGGCTTTCTACTCCCGTAAGGATTTACACCCTCGGAAACCCTGTACAGGATCGCTATGGGTCGGAACCGACTCGACGGCACTTAACAACAACAACATAGAGTTTCCGAGGGGCTGCCGATGAGTTTGAACTGCTGACCTAACAGTTAGCAGCCGAGGGTTTTTCCTACAGATGCCACAACGGAGTGATGAAGGTGAGGAATAAAATAACAGGACATAAACATGAAGAGTATAAGTGGTTTTTCTAATGGAGAAAACGGTTGAATTCCAGTGAAAATTTTTGACGAACCCTATGTTAGCTGATTAAGGAGCTCAGGTAGCGTAGTGGTTACGTATTAGGCTGCCAACCTCAAGGTGAGCAGTTCGAAACTACCAGAGTTTCCTTGGGAGAAAGATGAGACGTCTGCTCCTGTAACGATTTACAGCCTCAGAAACCCTCTGCAGGGTCACTATGAGTCAGAACCAACTCCATGGTACTTAACAACAACAGTTAGCTAATTCAGGGTCTTTTTGCATCAAGAAAGGCAACTCAATGACATCTAGGCAAGGACAATTTGACTCTTGATTTTTTCCTACCTGGGCTGCAGTGCATTAAAGTTGTTCTGGGACCCCAATTTAAGACTAAAACATTATATACTAAGAAAAGCAACAGGACTCCACAAAGGTTTATGGACTATATATCCAACAGTACTTTGCCTGCCATATTCTGTCCCCTAGTGTGTGCCACCCAGTTGCTTTAGACTAACAGTAACTGTGTATATGGTTTCCACAGTTACTATTAGTTCGAACCAACTTGGTGGCACACACCAGAGGATAAAGCATCATTGGATGTGAATATGGTTTCCAGGAGTCCTGGTGTAGCGCTGCAGGATAATGTACTGGATCGCAAAATGAGTTTGAAATGCAAGGTAAGACAGTTCAAACCCACCAGCTGCACCTCGGAAACCCTATACAGGATTGCTATGGTTTGGTTTGTTTCTTTTGGGGTTCTGAACCAATTCCGTGGCACTTATCAACAATATGGTTTCCAAGACTGTAAATCTTTACAGGAGCAGAAAGCTGCATCTTTCTCCAGTGGGACACATGGTAGATTCGAACTACTGACCTTGCAGTTATCAGGTCATCTAGGAATGCTCTATGCTACCAGGATTCCTTATTCTGTTCCCTAGGCTATGCCAAGAGTTTTGCTCTGGGGATGGGCCTAGACAACTATGCATGCATCTTTATAGGTTCCATTCAAATGCGAAGGGTGGGCAGTTGGGGCACTGACTTAGATTACCATCCAATGCAAGTACCTGACCTAACTTTGAGATATGGCAAAGTATTTGATTACTCTGCTCTCTAAAGGTTTTTTTTTTTTTTTTTTTTTTCAGTTTAATTGAGCAGTGTTGGGGGTGGGGTGGTGGTGGTGGTGGTAATGTGCCCTTGAGTTGGTTCTAATCCATAGCGACCCTGTACAGGGTTTCCAAGGCTGTAAATCTTTACAGAGCAGAAAGCCTCATCTTTTCTCCCAACGAACAGCTGGTAGTTTCCAACTGCTGACCTTGCAGTTCACAGCCCGTAACCATTTCGCTACCAGAGCTCTTATGGAATATAATTAAGCATTTGAGTCCCTTGAATGTCTCAGGCCTTAAATGTCATATACATATGAAATTTAACAACAAAAATTGCTCATCAGTTAACTATAAACAACTTGAAGATAACAAGTGAAATGAAAGGCTATCAGATTCACTGATCTCAGAACAGTAACAGAGGCCATGCCAGATAGTTATTCTTGTTTGAAATTTAACTAAAGAAACACCACGTAATTTTCACTTAGCTATTACTAATGCAGACTCAATTTGGCTCAAGCTGGGAGTTGGGAAAGGGCTGTCCCTCGAACCTCATATGCTGCATTAAATATCCACCACTTGTAATGAACTTTTGATCCTGGTCAGAGTACAGGTGAATTGGTTCTTACTCTTTCAAAATAAAGTAAACTCAAGCCGCCTTCTAATTCCACTGTGCATCACCTTATAACTATCTTTCAGCATCTTTCAGTCTTCAAATGTATGCCTATAGGTGGAATTAAAAAGAAAATGGCACTACATCACCAAGACTATCTGCAAAGGCTGACTAATGGTGAGAAGCAGACAAACTGATGGTTAATTAAAGTGATTAGAATAATCTGCAAAAACTTTGAATTTAACATGTTAACACTCCAAATGGTTGAAATTATAGGGAGAAATATACACTGTCTAGAAAGCAAACATTAAGTCATTTAAGCTATTAGCTATAACTCTTTAGAAAAGGGTTACTAATAGGAAACAGCTTATTTGCATTAACTTTAAATTAGCTTATATTAGAGTCATACATTTGCAGCGTTTTCTGTTTCATTTCCAGAAAGACTTTTTTGTAGGCAGAAGACGACTAGAGGAAAACAAAACAAATTGGAAGGAAATAAAACCATTTCCCTTGAGTTAAACCACATTTCTTTTAATAAATAAATAGCATATGTGTAGACCATGGTGCACCTATACGCTAATACTCTTACAATTCCACGAAATTATTTGTCTTTAAATAATACGACAATCTGTCTTTAAAGTTTCCCACTCAATCAGAGTTCAATTTTGTAAACTGTACTTGTACTATTAAATCTGATAAAAAGTCTTTTTGCTGTCGACATGTGTGAGCAATTTTTGCTGTCAATATTGCAGAGATAGATTTTAATTTTGTCCCATCTGAAAATGTCTTGCCTATACTCCAGCCACAAACGCCCCCAGCCCACCGCCTTCTTCCCCAGCAAGTTTTAAACTTTTTTTCCTTTGGGGTTCTGTACAAGCGCTGCTAAAAATGATCCCAGAGACAAAGAGCTGTGCGGTGGGTTCACGGGATGCCAAATTTTAATTGTAAAAACAAAGCACTCAAATTTGAGACTCAAAGTAATGATGATGGAGATGGCAATAATAGTAAAACAGGAACCCCAAGAGCCATGTCCCCCTCCCTACGCGTGGACACACGCGGGGGACTTGTGGCCAGAATGCAGCCAGGAAGCCTTCTCGGAGCCTTTCGGGGACCGCGCCGGCGGGACCCCAGGCGCGTCTCCGGAAGGGGCTCCCGCCGCCGCGTCCGCCCGCCCGCCCGCCCGCGCCCCGGCCCTCCCTGCCTCCCGCTCACCGCTTCACTCGGATGATCTGGTCCCGCATGGGTTTGATGTCCTGGAAGCTCTGCTGGTTGACGAGGCTGTAGACGAGGATGAAACCCTGGCCGTTCTTGATGTACAGATCCCGCATGGACGCGAACTGCTCGGTGCCCGCCGTGTCTAGTATCTCCAGCACCGACGGGGACGAGTCCACCTCGATCTCCTTGCGGTAGAAGTCCTCGATAGTGGGGTCGTATTTCTCGATGAAGGTGCCTGTCACGAACTGCACGGTCAGGGCGGATTTGCCTACCCCGCCCGAGCCCAGCACCACCACTTTGTACTCGCGCATCGTCCCTCCGCTGCTACAGCCGCCGTCGCCGCCCCTGCCGCCCGCGACATAGACCTACGCCCGTCGCGCTGCGCTCCCGGACCCTGCCCCGGCTGCTGGCCCGGCCGCCTCCCGCGGCCGTCCCAACCTCCCGGCCGCAGCGGCCCCTCGGGC